CATGCAAATGGCTGAAGCAGCAGTTCGTGCTCAAGAGAGGGATCCTTATACTGCCTTTGTAAACCGTGTGAGAGAGCTCAATTATGGAAACTCGTACTTTTTCAGGGTATGCCTGGAATCATGGTTTTATTTCAGTTTTGATTCTAAGACGGTTATTCCAAGGTCAGAAATGAGCTAAAATTTTTCTCTGCAGCCCATAAAGATAAGTGACCTCAAAAGAGTAGACCCAAGGAGAGCCTGTGAATACTTCAGTTGCTGTTTTAAGGATCCATCAACCTTTACAGTTGTGATTGTTGGCAGTATAAGTCCTATAATTGCTGTCCCTCTGATCTTGCAATATCTGGTAAGTAATTTTTGCAGCTTATGATTTCGCAATCACTAAAGATTTAAAAGCCTTCTGATTTTTGTGTTCTGATTCTTCATATAGGGTGGAATTCCAAGGCCTCCTGAGCCAATATTAAGATATAGCCGTGATGACCTCAAGGGCTTGCCAGTCACTTGTCCTACGAAGAGTGTCAGGTGGGCTCTTCAGTTATCATGTCACCCCTCCCACCAGAACAAGAAGGGGGGAGATTAGGATCTCTTTTTCTTTGAGAACTGGTCAAATTTGAAGTATTAAGGACCTTGTGAAATGAGTCTGGAAATGAAATACCTGTCACATCTCCACCCTATCCTACTTTCTTTTAGTTTTAGCTAGTGCCCTTGCACTCCACTCTCTCTTAGCATCTTTGAGAATACTTAAAAGTCAGTTCTCTATATTCATCATCCTCTGTATCTTTCATCCAATCTTGCTTTTCATATGCAATAGCAATTTGGTATGCTTCAGTAGGAGTGAAATATGTGGATGGGCTTCCAGTAATTTTCTTCATGGTGAAGCTTAATTTACCTGTTCTGAATTCTAATACAATAAAAAATTTAATTTATCTGTTCTGGATTCTGATACTCTACATACCCTTATAGGGAAGTTGTTAGGAGTCCCATGGTGCAAGCTCAGTGTTCTGTGCAGATCTGCTTTCCTGTGGAATTGAAAAATGGAACAATGGTATGTGGTTCCTTGTGATCGAATTTTCACACCTTATGGATGAGAGGGTTGCCATGCTTTTTTGACCAATTTCTGTTTGTACTACTGTCTAAAACAAATTGCGAATGAAGGTGGAGGAGATTCACTCTATCGGATTTTTGAGCAAACTTCTTGAAACAAAGCTAATGCAGGTTCTTCGTTTCAAGCATGGGCAGGTATTTACTGTGCGGGCATTGTTTTCACCATTCTGTTCTTTTGGCTGTTATTTAGTTCTTACCATTATGTACAGATCTATTCCACTGGGGTTTCAGTATTTCTTGGCAGTAATAGACCTTCAAGGACTGGCGATGTACGTGGTGACATTAGCATTGATTTTTCTTGTGATCCAGAAATCTCCTTGAAGCTGGTAATTTCCATTTCAATTCTCTTTCTTGCTTTTGCTGGATCTAAGAGGTTGATGCCCTAGTTTTAGCTCATTTTGCAATGTGTCTCGACAGGTTGATCTCACTTTGGACGAAATACAACGTCTTCAAGAGGAAGGCCCATCAGAAGAGGATGTTTTGACAATTCTGGAGATAGAACAAAGAGCTCATGAAGATGGAGTGCAGGTTAAAGTGAAATTCTTCTTTGAGATTCTGCATTCTTTATGATCATGATCTATCAGTATATTGGAGCCATATGAATTTTCACCATTGATCCATTTCTGGTGTTTTCTTTTTCAGGAGAACTATTACTGGCTGGACAAAATTTTGCGCAGCTACCAATCAAGAGTTTATTCCGGAGATGTGGGCACTTCGTTTAAGGTGAGTTATTGGGGTCATCCTCTGCCTTTTTATGTCGTTTTTCCATTCTGCATCATTCATCGCGCCGTGTGGTTTCTGTGCATACGTTTCATTTGGTCATGTAGCACTGAACTACAATTTTATGAGGCTTGAAAATCCATGTGAAAATTGGAATCCCTGCAGTATCTATTCAATGACGTTTTGTAGGATGAAAGAACATAAATATCCAACGATGGAAGCTAATGCAAATTAGTTGGACGATCTTGCTTGGACTATTCTTCTTAATACATTTGTAAAGAAGTATGAACATGAATAAGACTGTCATCGTTATATGCAGTATATAGAATTTTACCTTCTTATTCTGTCAAAGGTCAAAAGTGAATATTCAACTATAAATTTCACACGATCAATATTATGTGATTGTCAGAATATCTGATCCAAAAGTTTAAATTATTAGGTAGAGGTAGATTGCACGCCTATAAATACCAAGCCAATAAGCGATGTAGAATACTACAACACCCTCTCACATGCAAATCGAATTGAGAATAGCACGTGCATGTGAAATAAATTTTGGGGAAAAGTGGCTGTGATAATATGGTGAAATAGCCAAACTAAAAGCTTAGATCATTTGGTGGAGCGAGACTGTACGTATATAAAACCCACCAAACCCCATAGACAAGTGCTGTAGGATACTTAAATAACAATGTTACTTAATCTTGTAGTAGAAGAGGGACAGCTTTGACGGTATTTCTAATGACTCGTCCCATTCTTTCCATTTCTGGTGCAGGTTCAAGATGAAGGACGCTCAAAAGTTAGAGCATCTCTTACACCATCCACAGCCCAGTCGGCTTTACAAAGAATACTACCTTTTCCTTGTAAGAAGCAGCACACAGTGGTGATTTTGCTGCCGCAAAGGTCTCGCCTCGCAATGTTAAAATCACTATTCGGGTTCTCTCAGACCATATACGGAAGAGATGCAAAGGTCAGTTGCAATTAGCTTGACAGTTCTCGCCACTTGTGAATTAGCTACATCCTATAGATTTATCGTTTCAACAATCATCCTAGGAACTTCTTATTTTCCCTCATCGCTCTCACTCGTTGATCAACTCTCTCATGTTCTCTATCAGTTAGCCAGTCCTCGGTCCTGCAAGTACTTTGAAAAAACTATATAATCCAAAATTAGAAAATATATTTGACATTTGCAAACTATAGGTCATGACCGCCTTTTGTAGTGTTGCATTGGTTTAAGCTCCTCATCATTTATCAGCTTCTTTTTTTTTTCATTTGAGTTCATCTTTTACTTTTTAAGAAGGTAATCGTGGGTATTTGGGTCTTATGCAGATTTTAGCAGGTGTCGCTGCTATGGCAGTCTTGGCTCTGAGTTTGTGGAGATACTCGCGCCGCTCTGTGAAATCGTAGGAGATTTTTTTCAAGTTAAAAGTCGCATAGGACTTGGCTCATTCAGTAAGGTACAGCTCATAATACTTCGAGATATCAAACTTTACTAGTGTAGAAACACTAGTTGATAGAAAGAAAAGGTAAATCTCGGGCGCTTTAAAGTTACTTTCGAGCCTGCCTTCTTCATCTGATCGGCCCCTGTTTTATGAACTCAGAATCATTAAACAACATGTCTACCGTTTCTGAACAAGACAACTGAAGAATTCTACTGAAAAATCACTAAGATTTCCGAATTACTGCATATTCTCCGGAGATTTTGATTCGTATTGGTGAACGATTGTCGTGGCCTTCAGCTACGGGGTCTGCTGCTCTTGAAAATCATTAGATTTATCCGATGAAGCTCACAACTGTTGTACGTAGTTTATACATGTATTAGGATGGTTGCTTCGGCTGTGTCGATTGGCCTTGCCGGTTGTTCGACTAGGGAGTTCAGACAATTGCTTGGCCACATCCCTCTCTGATTTGCGTATCGATCGTGTCGTGTGAATAAACCCATCATTAATGACCTTTTTTCTTGCCATAGAAATGATTGATTAATCTACTTATACGTTGAATTGCAATTAATTATCCTAATCTTTAGTCCCCATTGATCCTTAATATCCATTCAATTGATCCATGTGGGTTTTGAGGAATGAGGTCTTTTTGTTCTCCATTGGCCGTAGTATGGTCCATTTAATCTGATATAATGATTACTAAACATATTATTTTATACGAATTTAGTTATGTCCAAGTATAAATCGATTTTCATATTAACCAATGTTTTCCTTGATTTATATGAAAAGAAAGTTCATCCATAGCGTGGGCCAAAATTGCTAGTTGCAATTGCAGTCATGACCAGTGGTTCTGCGCATAAGGATTTTAACGGTGATTGAAAAAATGTGCATTGTTGGATGTTGACAAGAAATAACTTTTCTAGTTACTAGCTATTGAGATGATGAAAATTATTTTCTGATATGAAGGATTTCTAATACGTCAAGAAGTCACTAATTACTAATAAGTAAATATTCGATCTTTTTTTCTATATGAAAAGTTATTAACAAAACTACCATAGAGTTGCCTTTGCCAAAACTATAGACGAGTCAAAAGTGATTGTGATTTGGGAACTCACTAACAATTTGGGACAAAAGTAGTCATAAATCCCTGCGAAAAAGTACAACTTTGATCTCTCGAGGTTTAATTAGTTACTCAACCATCGAATTTCAATCACATGCCGACGTGATGTTATCTTAAGAATGAGTGCATTTTCTATGTAACTTTGTCTAAATAATTAATGATTCACACTGCCATTTCCACTCGGATCCAATAGGAGGCGACTATACAACACCATGGGGACTGCCCGAGCTTCGACTTCCACTTCTCCAACAATCTCGACATCTTCAGCCACGAGCCTTCCTTTACCAACGAGCTGAGCTCTTTTCCGACATTAAGATCCTTCTTACTACGTAAATAAATAAATAAAAACGCAATCCTCCTATCAAACGTAAGCGATTAATCAAAAATTATTTTGCAGCTATCGTATTATGCCTGATCAGTATTTTGAAAATTGCAGCGTTTCCAATTAAGTACGCTTAATTAACAATTGCAAGGAGGGGGCACTCGATGAGGGGAAAAAGCTGAGATGCGTATTTACGAAACGGGGCATCCTATGGTGGAGTTTATTACGGAATGCCACTAGGGTTTTATTAGCCTTCCCCCTACCTTTCTACACTCCTCGTCTCCCTAATCTCAGCATCGCCATCGCTTCGCCCTCGCCCTCGCCCTCTGCCCATTCGCGCCGTAAGAGCTCTCTCTCTTTCTCTCTCTTTCTCTGGGTTGCTTGGAAGCCGAGGCTACTGATAGAGAAGGTCCCTCTATGTGTCTGCCATCTCCAAAGTGTTTGGCTAACTTCGTGTTTCATGGTGTTTGATCTTTTTGCGAGCAATGTCTGAATTACATATGTCTCACGTTACATTCGTCGATCGCCATCATGACTTGCGTTTTTGACAATCTAGTTTATCCGAGATCAATGGTTTTATTGCACAAATTGTGGGTGCGTGTTGTTATTCTCAAAGAGCGATGCTGAGTTCTTTGGTGGGGTTGAATTGAATAGGCGGTTGAACTGAAGAGGGCGGTCCAGGATGGTGGAGAAGACGGCAGGGAGAAAAGAGGAGGTGGTCACCAGAGAGTACACCATCAACCTCCACAAGCGCCTCCATGGCTGGTAAAGTCCCCTTTTTGACTTCCGTCTTTTATCTCGCTGAGTTCGCTGTCGCGTTGTTCTGATGATTGGCAAAGTTATTTGGGAGCTTTCTGCTCCATGAAACTACTTGAAAGAATAGGATTCAGTGTATATTGAAAAAAGGGCTGAAGCTGATGGCGGTTTTCTAATCTGAAACATTTGTTGTTTTCGGGTAATTTGCGATAGTTCTTCATTGAAGTGTATGGATGATCTATTTCTGTCGATGAGAACATATTTTTCGGACCAATCAGGAGCCTATTTCAGTGAACTTGTGTTCTATCTGGAATGCGTTTTCATTTGTTTATGAGCAATTATCTACTTTTCTGACCCAAAAGAAAGGCAATCATCTACTTAAAGAATTTGGGATTTCATCTTGGGGCTTTGTTGTTTGGTCGGCATTTCTAATCGGTAGATCTTGTAGTGTGAGTACAGTTGTCTTGTGCTCCTTGGCTAACGAGCATCAGTGGCCCCTTTAGTATCCTTGAGGAGTGAAACCTCCTGGAATCTCAGTTCCTACATGAAATGTGGATTTGTAGGTTTTGTTTGACTTTGAGAGTTCCTAGGAACAGAGAAGGCAGCAAATAGTTAAATCTGTTAATCGGTAATGCGATTGTGGCAAGTTATGTTCTGCCTCTAAGAACATGTCTTAAAGGTTCTTCTGTCGTTTTTGGGTAACAGCACCTTTAAGAAGAAAGCTCCCAAGGCCATAAAGGAGATCAGGAAGTTTGCCCAGAAAGCCATGGGAACCACGGATGTTAGAGTCGATGTGAAGCTGAACAAGCAGATATGGAGCAGGGGGATCCGAAGTGTTCCGAGGAGGATCAGGGTCCGCATAGCTCGCAAGAGGAACGAGGATGAAGACGCCAAGGAAGAGCTCTACTCTCTCGTCACCGTCGCTGAGATCCCAGCGGAGGGGATAAAGGGGTTGGGTACCAAGATCATTGAGGATGATGAGTAGTTTATTTTTGCTACAGTTGATTGTATTGACCCTAAATTCTGTCGGAATATCAGTTTTGTCGAGCATTTTCATTATCACATGAGCCTATGGGACACACATTAGTTGCTTGACTGTTCTTTTACAACAATGTCGAATGAATTTCCAGTTCTGCTTCTTTGACTCTTTGCTTTCACTGGCCTTACTTAAATTCTCTGATATAACAGCGATGGGAAGGAAAATTCTCCGGTAACAAACATTCAATTATCTCTAAGAATTGTCCAAATTCATTGGTTGAAATTGAAAGTTAAGTCATGTATTTGACACTCGTAGTAACTTGATACTTGTTCCTCCAAAGATGATGTACTTCCTTATGGAACTTCTTAGCACGAAGTTTCGTTGGTCTTATGCTTTTCCGACAGTGTGAATGAGAAGTATATTGCTCCTTGAAGACTTCTCTTTGGCCTTATGCCATGAGTGGACGAGAGAGGATATAGCGGGGCTCTTGAATATGGTTAATGTCTGCAAATATTTCACATGTGCTTTCATGCAAATGACTGCTGCGATTGGTGCTGCTTGTGCTTTATTTGAAAAAGATGCATTTGGACGCTGGGCTTTCTGATGTTGAATTTGGAAACAATAGGGAGCAAACAAGAAACATTCATCTTAAGTTGCTTCATATGTATAAGCAAAACAAGATTACTCATGACTCATGAAGATGAGCCAAGCAAGCAGAGGAAAAGGGAAAAGGTGCCCATTTAGCAGTGGACCACAAATTGAACTTACCTGCTTTTCCTAAAAACTAAATTCTACTAAAAGTCCATTTCCCATAAGCCTGTTGGCTTTGAGAGTCTCGAAGTCCAGATCAAGGGTTCGGAGGCTGGTAGAGAGACGAGCTCGTTTCACTTCCCAAAGTTAAAATCAAATCTACAAATGACACACTTCGGTTCGGTCCGGTCCGGCTCGTTTCAGATCATCCATGTCTAAGAAGATCATGCTTTTGCTAATCTTTTTTCTCTGTCTTAGTCTTAATTTAGATGCGACTTCATTTTTTTAATCCATTTCCTTTATCAATATGCTCCGCCTTTTAGAGTTGATAGACTCATCAATTCCCCCAATTTTGGCTTCCGATATCTATTTCTCCTTTATAAAGAACATTAACTACCCAAAAAGACAGTACGTCGCCTCTCTTTCAAGTAAAATCCATCACGTCAATCGCCAAGAAATATCGAATTTCTCACGCTAAGTATTCTACATAAGGACACAAGGAGGTACTCCGCGCAACCGCAAAGCGTTCCGCTCGAATGGATCACACAAACGAAGACGATGATCGTGATGCTTCCAAAATACCTAAACGGTCTCTCATTTAAAAAAAAAAAAACCCACACAGTGTTCCCTGAAATGGGCCTGAAGGCCCATTAGTAGGCCTCGGGCCTTCAGGCCCAACTCATCCTCTCTGTCCTCTCTACGCGAAACGCATATAAAACTCAAAAACCCTAATTCCACCTCTCCTCCCCCCATCATACGAACCTCGGACCCGACGACGCCGGCGGAAGCAGCGAAGCCCTCTCTCTCTCCCCGACACCTCTCCAAGACATGGGTGAGCTCCGAATCGAAAGCTCTGTGTCGTCTCCGATTCGGCCTCTTCTTCTGAGGTGGTTTTTTTTTTTTTTATGGCGGACGATGATGTTTGAGTTCATGTTTTCTCCCTTTTGTCCGCAGGTAAGGTCCACGGATCCCTGGCTCGCGCCGGTAAGGTGAGAGGCCAGACCCCGAAGGTGGCGAAGCAGGATAAGAAGAAGAAGCCCCGCGGCCGCGCCCACAAGCGGATGCAGTACAACCGCCGCTTCGTCACCGCCGGTAACCTTTTGATTGCATTGGCTTGGCTCCGTGCGTTTTCTTGATTGTTTTTTTTTGGTGAATTGAATTGTTGATTTCTTGCCTTTGTCAAATTCTGGTGCGGTGCAGTTGTTGGCTTTGGGAAGAAGAGAGGCCCCAACTCGTCTGAGAAGTGAGCTAAGCTTCGTTTGGATCCTAAAGGAAGAGGAGCTGTGTAGGTCCTACGAAGATGGGCTTTTTGGGTTTCTTGTTTCTTGATTGGATTGTTATGCTTTTCAGATTTGGGGTTTGATTGAATACTCTTGGTCTTGGTGACTTCGGACTTGCTGGACCATGTTGAGGTTTTTGCCTACCCACTTGGCCATAGATAATGTAGTTTTGTTCCCTGCTGATCCTAAAGTTATTGATGTTCGATGGCTGAGCTTTCTCCATATGCTTTTGCTCGATACCCCGGGCGGTACTTTTACTTCCGTGCGATGTCGGTGTTTGATGTGATGTTTTCGTCCCGCGAAGGAAGATGAGTATATTCTAAAAAGCATTGGGATGTCTGGGGGATGCTGAATGGCGATTCGCCATAACTCATGAGTTTCATTAGGAATTGTAGAAGTTGAAGTCTATTTGTTTACATGGCGAGACGGGAGAGAATGTCTGGTACTTAACCCAGCTGGAAGCAAAACTAGTAGTAGGTTTTAGCTTTACCTTGCCCAGATTGGAGAATGGTAGATGAAATATTAGACTTGACCGGAGATGGTCTGTCAATGTACCCTGATGATGAGGATGGTAGCTGGCAATGTTGCTTGTTAGGTTAGTGTTGGTGCTTGCGACGCCTGTACGGAATGTCGCATGCACGCGTGTGGAATCTAGGCATGCTGGGGGGTTGAATTTGTGGTCTTGAAAGTTGAGTTGGGATGCTAGTTGAGGTTGTTTTACAGTGCACGATTTGGCGAAAACGAATCGCAAGTACATCTCTCCCGCTATTAGGACACTGTGAATTTACCCCTTTTTTTGAAATATTTCCAGTTGTTCAAACCTCTCGAGTTCTTATGAAAACAACCTCAATAACGTAAATGCACGGCTGTCCAGTGGTGACACCTCATGACGGCGAGGCAAGCGGCACGAACAGATCCTGGATATTGGCGGCGAGGTGGTCTGTCTTCATGAATGCTGTAACATAACCAAAGGTAAAAAAGGAGAAAGTGCTAATAGGTGCACTGATACACGCTTTGGAAGCAATTATTGTCCGAGGTTCGACCATATGAGGCTTAGCATATAAGGTGATGACCGGATTCCATTACTGAGAAATTTCCATCTTCTAGCTTTCTCAAAACAACAATTCCAGCAATCGAGGCTGAGCTGAGGTCGCTTTAAGGACACAATCGCCACTTCTATGTCCTACCTCACCTTGCAGGCTTCAATGGTCAGCAAAACCATATTTACATACAGCTCCAAACAGTAGTTTCTTTCTTCCCTTTTTTGGGCCATAAATCTCCAAATGGTTGTTGGCTGTCTCAAGTTATCGGAAGCTTAAGATGAGTTCACATCAAGAAAGCGCACGCACCTTACAATTCATCATGAGAACTTTCTTTTGCTGCAACCGGCTTCTGTTGGTTCTCTAGGATGTACCGCGTGGCAAGTGCCGCATGAAGTGCCGCCCCGTATGGAAGCGCATCTTCGTTGAGTTTGTAGTACGGGGAGTGCCCAGTTTCCATCTTCCCTAGGCTCTCGTCCTTCATCCCGACAAAGTAGAAGTAAGCCGGGATCACCTCCGAATAAAACGAGAAATCCTCCGAACCCATCATTGGTTTCATCTCCAAAACCTTGCGCGGGCCCAGCATATCTCGCGCAATGTTCTCAAAGTGCTCGTGCAAACCTTTGCTGTTTGCCGTCACCGGGTAGAAGGACTTAGAACTGAACGAAACCATCGCGTTGCACCTCTGCACACTTGCTTGTCTCATGATGACCTGTTACGTATTGTAACTTAAGGTGTCGTGCTATGCAAGCATTAAGATTTCTCCTAAGACTAAAAGTGGTCAAACGGTAAAAAAAACACGAAGTAAGTTTGAGACGGGGGATAAAGGGAACATGAAAGAGCTTCGAGGCATCACTAGTTAAGCGGAGATGAAGCTTAGGCAAACCGGATGGGATCTCACCTCTTCGATTCTCTGTTTCAGTTGGAAGAAGCTGTCCATGGAAAGTGCCCTGAATGTGCCGCCTATAGTCACGGAATCGGGAATCACATTGAACGCGCCACCTCCTTCGATCTTAGCCACCGTAACCACCTGCACGTATTCGCTTTTCAAGTTGAAATACTAATCAGGTGGTTGGTAATTCAGTCATAGCACTGCCTATAAGGATCAGATGAGCTAAATTCCATCAATCTTGGAACTAATAGGAGATTTAATTCACAACTCATGATCAGAATGTCCATTAAGTGATTCCACAACTCCGTCGGCTCATGCAAAGAAATTATTGTCACAGAGAGAAAGAGAGAACCTGCGAATCCAGTGGATCGGCTTCACGTGAAATGAGATGCTGCAGATTAACAATCACATTGGATGCTGCCACAATTGGATCTATTGTGTGCTTCGGAATCCCCGCATGACCTCCCTTTCCGGTTATTACCGCCTCAAAGAATCCACATGCAGCCAAAAGCGGACCAGGTCTGGTTGCCACTGCACCAATAGGGAATTTGACGGAAAGGTGCAGTCCGAAGATGGCATTAACATTTTCCAGGGCTCCATCATCTATCATTTTCTTGGCTCCTCCGCCTCCTTCCTCAGCTGGTTGAAAAACGAGAACCACTGTCCCCTGTAAAAGAATTCATCTACTCATCAGCTCTAAGACAAGGAAAGACAAGCGGTGTACACAAAAATAAATCTCGATCCGAAGAAATGAACATTCAAGGTAAAAATGCTGTTCTGCAGAAGAGATCAAACATTCCCCCAGAAAACCAAAGGTATAGGTTTCCTCTCCACGGTTGTCTCACACACACACATGCAAAGATCAATGATTACCTATGTTGTTAGAGTTTGATATACAGAACGATTTGCAGATCGTGCATAATTATTACTAATGGAGGACAATGCACAGCTTCTCTTACAATCCGATGCTTAATGATATTGTGCAGAACACCCAAGGCAGTCACAGTTTGAAAATTCTCTTACAATCCAATGCTTAATGATATTGTGCAGAACAACCAAGGCAGTCACAGTTTGAAAATTGAAGCTAGCCCTAGTTTTAAACATCTTTGACTCAATTC